GGGCGCCGCCGGCCGCAGTTCGGTTAAGCGTACGGTGCGATTGCACGCTCAGTTTCAGATTTCCGCTGAGCGCCAGCCAACTTGGCATCACGAGGCAGGCACAAATAAAACCCCTTTTGAAGCCGCAGCTGGAAGATGAAAGCGGTGAAACAGAAGCCGCCAATCTCACTTAGCTTTGACGCTGCTCTCCAGCCTGTTTTGCCGACAGTAGGCTTAAGAGTTAACCAGGCCCGAGGGAGCAACTGCAACAGCAGCCTCTGCCGAAATAAACCCAAATCCCAACGATTCCAACCTCTTAAAACCGACTGGCCCGGCCCCGTACGAATCTTACTTTCTCAAATTCGATTTTGATGTAGAAGTCGTCGTCTTGCTCGGCTTGACGCGGGGCCATCCCCCGATCCTGCAGTTCAGCCGGAAGATCGTGATGTCCCGCTAGAAGCAGTTCCTCGCTCTCATCTTCTGCGGGCACCGGGGTTGTTTTGCAAGACTCCGGTTTCTGGAGGAGACGGGTGTAAATATGAAATTCAAACGCCCCTGCTTTGGCGCCGAGGGCAAATTCAACATCCTCGTGCGCGGGTTAGAAGTAGCTTTAACCCGAGGGCGCTTGTTCTGCGGAGTCGGTCGAGATCTGGCGAGCAGCAACACACCGCGTTCAAGCATCACCACGGGGCACGAGAGCCAGAAAAATCTGAATTTAGCAGGGTAACTCGTGAATACGTTCTCACCAACCGCAGAAACAGAGGGACAGACGCGCGCGGGGCGAAGGAAAGCCGAGGAAAAGACCTCTCCAGGCGCCGTTTCGCAACTGCGAGGAGTTGGGGGGGGGGCGGGGATCTCCGCAGCGACACTCGAGCACGGCGCGTACTCCTTCAGATGGTAAGTGGGCAGGCTCCCCACCGGCAATTAACAATATTTTGAGAGGCAGCAGATTGTTTCCTACAAACTAAAAAAGCAAAATGCCAGAAGCAAGCTCGGAGCCAGGATTTTTATTTATTTTTTTTTTTCCCCTGCCTTGCTGTCCCTTCAGGAAAAGTAGGATTGCTGACTGAGGGAGAGGACGGAGAGCGGGTCAGGCCAGGGATCCTTTGAGATCTGAGCTCCCCTGAGATCCTGCTGCAATACAGGAAGGACGGGGGAGAGCCCGGAGTCAGACCGACCACGGAATTGTTTGATAGGCGTCGGAATTACTCTATCAACCCTGTTAAGAGAGAAACGCAACACAGGAGAGCTGCTTCGGTGAGGACGAGGGAATAGAGAGGAAGGGTTATTGCTTTGTAAGGTAGAAGGAAATGAAGCTGTGGGAAAAAAACCCCTCCAACTTTGGGGAACGATCAGTTGGGGAAAAGCATTTGGGTGCTGTCGTGCTGGGGACCTACAGCAGCTACCAAACCCTGAGGGCAAAGCGGCTGAAGGCTCGGTGAACAGGATCATCCGAAACACAGGGACGGGTCATTTCCACGCAATTACCATCTGCTTGGGAAAGCAGGGAAGAAGCTCTTTAAATGTTGCTGACCTGAAAAGAAATCTCTGGGAGAGCGGAAGAGCAACGATTTGGGGAACATGGGTTACCGATCGCAGGGAACGCAACTCTTTAGAGGGCAGAAAGGGGGAAAAAAAAAAAGAAAACTGCAGAAGACAGGACCGGAGGAGAAGTTGCAGTTCCTTTAAACTGAGCAAATGCAAAAGACAAGCAGCGCAAGGCAGCCCCGGCTAAGCCCCGAGCTCTTCTCGCGCCCGCGATCCATGCCAGCGCGGGGGAAGCGGAGCACGGGTCGGGTTACCGAAGGAATGGCGCAGGAGACAACACGAGCACGCGGGGATAAAAACCCAAACCGCGTGCCAGAAAGGCCAAAGCTTGAAGTAAACCAAGACAGATCAAGGTAACAAGTCAGGCTTTAGTAAGAGAGACTAAAGGACTTGCTACTCAAGAAGGAGAGCTGTCAGAGGACACCACGAGCAGCATTTTATGCTTCTGGGCATCGGCGTTCCCCCAAAGGCTTGCTCCGAGCTAATAGCAGCGGCAAGAAAAAACCTTGGATTATTATTGGGAAGGAAAAGTCGGGTTATTCCTAGAAGCTGAAGTTTTTAAGCAGGCAGGATCTGCCCTGGGTTTGCTGCCAGGAGGGGCAGAGAAGCTGCTAACAGCCCCCCCCCCGCCCCCGAAATCTGTGGAGGTCCAGGTTATCAGAAACCGGCTCCCTCTTTAAAGAAAGGAGGGGAAAAGGAAATACCGAAGAGAAGATGTTAGCCTCAGGAGTTTAACTGCCCCACTTTGGGAAAAACAAGAGTAAATCACCTTGCAAAGTGCCTGCAAGCTGCTAGAAAACAAGATAAGCAGCAACCAGCATAAATTTGTCAAGAGCGAGTCGTGTCCAGCAGGTCTGAATTTCTCCTACAATAGAAGAAAGAGGCCTCAGGCGAAGCGCGGCAGAAGAGGTCTCGGTTTTAGCTTAGCTTTTGACACGGCCTAATTCAAGAAATATCTGTTAGATTAAACTATTCTATGGGAGGCGCGATGCTGATTAAAAACATTACCCAGATTCAGTCTCAAGGAGTTCACTGCACAAAAAGAGAGTAAAACTATCCAGCTCTGCTTGATAAATTTCCTTCTCGGCTTGGATGACGAAAGAAAGAAGCATCTTGATGACATTTACCCACCCGACCAAGTTGCAGAACGGGCTAAAAACGCTTGGGTTCGAACCAAGGAAATCAGCTGGAATAGAGGGCACAAGGAAATTCAAGGAGGCCAAAAGCAAAGGGCAAGGCAGCGCGCTGCGGCAGCAATTACCACGGTGGTTAAGTCCACGGCAAAAGCTTGCGTCCGAGAGAAGGGAATAAGCCGCTGGCCTGCCTAGCTGTGAACACGGCAAACCTTTATACAGGGAGAGAAATTCAGATTAATATTCGAGCTTGTTTTCTCCTCTACTATCTTGGAGTAATAAAACAAAGTAATGCAATAAATCAATAAATTCTTCCCGGAATAAATTGCCTAGGGAAGCTGTTAAATCCTCCTCGCCAGAGGTTTGAAGAGAGCGTAGATTAACTGCAGCAAGGTTCAGGCGGGAGGACGGCCCGGGATCCCTCCCAGCCTTGTTTCTCACTGCTGCGGATGACTCGCCGCGGGACTCCCACGCATCCGCTGGCCATCGTCTGTAACCCTCTGGCTTCCGTGGGCAGCGACTGTATTATTGACGCGAGGCTTTAGTGCTGCTAATAGCCGAGTAATGAATCACCCCATCTCGCTGAGCAATCTGAAGGCACCGAGGACTGAAACAGAAGCTACGTGTCCTGTCCGAAACAGATAAGAGGTTTTCGAGCCTGTAATTATACTGTTTTTGTGACTCTTGTTCACGAAGCCGACTTCCTCGAACAGAAATCCACCAGCACAACGAGGAGGAAGAGCCGGACCATACCTCTAAAAGGTATTTTCTAGACAAACAGCCAGCCAAGATCTACTTCACCTTTGATGAACCCGAAAAAGAGATGGGAATGAAGAATTGCAAGACGGGCAGGAAACTGGCTCCGGAGGAGGCAGTAAGACGAAATACCAGGTTGGATTGCTGGCGGTGTTCTCCGGGATGGACAAAGTATGTCAGTTTAAGAAAGGTCTTGGCACAGAAAGGAGGATAATAGCTGTGAGACGAAGCTGCTCTGGAGAACTGGATTGACAAAAGCAGGCTGCAATTCAACAGAAGAAAAGGTGGGACACTCGGGACCGACATCTGTACGCGGCTGCTATGCACTGCTTCGAGGAACGCAGATGCGTGCCAACAATTCTCTATCAGGAGCCAGCTCTGGGTGAGGAAAACCCTCCAGATCTTTGCCACCCGCAGAAAATAAGGGACTGATGCAAGGGA